AAAAAAAAAAAAAAAAGAGCAAAGCAAAATAAGTCGGGTGAAGCATGTGTTTTTGGGATAGTGTGGGGGAAGATCCAGTTTGTTGAGCAACCGGTTGAGCTTGCATTCGTGGGTTAAGAGTTTGAGTTGTATTCGAGCCACTTAGCCTAAATTTATCCTACCTGTCCAAAGAGCCTACGTTGCAACCCTGAAAGACCCTTTGATTCACTAGTTTCAATTTTGATTGGTTTAGAGTAGAAGATAGACGATGGGCAAGCCTATGATTGAACTTGTTATCGACCAATTTGAGTGCACCTATATCTTTATCTGTATAAGAAAGTTAGTGAGGAACACATATATATTCCCATATTTGAGAGGACGTCATATTAAAGTTTAGCGATCAAGCATATAGTCGTGTTATGTTCGTATGTGCCATTTGAATGCTCGTTGTTGAAGTTGAATGTGTTGAGACTTATCTTGTTATCGATTAATATCCAGGCTCATGATTGTGTCTTTTCTTTTCTTCCCCTTTCTTTTATTTTCTTTTTTTTTTCTTTTTGTTCGGGACGAACAAAGGTTTTAGTGTGGAGGAGTTGTTCGTTCCATTTTTGTCGTGTTTTCCTTGTTTATCTTGCATTTATTTTGCCCCATTCTAGGTTATTTTCTTTGATTCTTGGTCCAATTTGTTTCGTGTCGTGCGTTTTCTTTATTTTGCTCATTTTTTGTTTTTCTTGTTTGTTTTTCCCGATTTTCTGCGTTTTTCTTGTCGGTGGTGGTGTGCAGGTTAAATAGCTCGGTTGGGAAGTAGCCCTGCGAGGATTATTATCTAGACGGATGAGTTGGGGTCGAGTAGAAAAAGACGGAATCCAATTCCGAGTCCGGATGCGTGGATACGAGCCCAAAAATTGCAGCCTTGTCACATAAATCCTTCACCGCGGCCCGCGACTATTTTCCCGCGGCCGCGGTGACCAAAATTTTTAGCGCACCGTTTTTCTTCGCCGCGGCCGAGGAGGAAGAGGTCGCGGCCGCGAATTTCACAAGAATCGAAGCCCAGCGGACAGAGTAGAAAAGTCGCGGCCGCGGGAGAAGTCGCGGCCGCGGAGCACTCCTTCGCCGCGGCCCGCGAGCATCTCCGCGACCGCGGGAAGCGCGTTTTTCAGATTTTTATTAGCAGATTTTCTTAAAAACGGGACTCATTATGTTATGTTCTAGGTTTTGAATGTTCTTCGTATTTCACTCAAAAACTCATACTTTCACTTAGTTTGATCTTGGTATTCGATCTTGGAGAGAAAAACTCTGAGATTCGACTTTTGGATTCAGTTTATTCGTGTTTTCGACATTGGATTCATAAATTGTAAGCCTTCATTTCGTTTTCTTATTGATTGAATGACTTTGATTATTGTATTTGTTGATGTTGAATGCATTATGAGTAGCTAAATTCATTAGCTAGGGTTAGGGGATTATCGTTCCGGTTCGATTTCGTTTATGTGCATGATTAATTGCTCAATCTTTACGAGTTATGCTTAACCTAGGGTTTTAGATGATTGATCACCATCTTAATCTAATTAATCGATCTTAGAACCGAAAGGGAAGAGATCGTTCGAACTAGGCTCGTGGAGAATAAGCTTGTTCGTTATGGTATTGCTTATGTGTTAGTTGTTTTAAGAACTATTCGTTTACGTCTATCCTCTTGTTATGAAGAGTTATTAAGGATATACCTCTAGATGAGTAGTTTGTCGAGTCATTTAACCGAGCTCTTGATTGCTCGCTAAATGCATTGAGAACCGGAAGCGATTGCCCCCGATACCCTAGCCCCTTTATTCATTGTTGGAATTTGTGTTTTGAGTCTTGAGTTGAGAATTTCTATTCTTATTTTGATTATTCGTAGTTGATAAATCAAACCCAAAATCGTGAATTAGAATGTTTAGGCCGCGATTGTTTATCAATTGGGCTCAAATTTTACTGAAATTGGGCTGATTTTTACTGTAGGATCTGTGATTGAATATCAACAAAACCCAACAACAACAAAACACGGCCCCCTTTCCTACTCCCCAAGAAACTGACACCACTACAGCCATTTATTTCAATTTTTCATCTTTTTGACGTCTTTTTCCCACATTTCAAATTGAATTAGCTATAATTTAGAGAAGTCGAGAATCGCCCTCAATAAATTCGTCCATAATCACCTCTGAATCTATGGATTTCTCCCCTCCACAAAATCACCCGCCGATATCACGTGAAGCGGAGGCGGAAGCAAGAACCGATTTTCGAGCTGAAGACACTACCGAAAGCATCGGTAGCGTCTCCGGTGACATCTCCGAAAAAAAAAGAGACTCCGGCCAACAAAGGTATGGCATACTCCTTTTCCCCTCAATTGATTTGTTGAAGTTTACTATGTTGATGTTACAATCCGTTGATAGCAAAATTTGGGGGTGGATAAACGGAGACGGTACCAAATTAAAAAAAATAGGGTAAATTTGTGTCTGAGGTTCACTGGCATTATATCTGAGCTTACAATTTTATATATTTTGTTGTTGTTGTTGTCGTCTTCATTGTAGCCGGCATATGATTTGTAAATTGTGAATCTCCAACCACCCTATTGTGGCATTTGTTATTATGTTACCTTTATTTTTGGTTGTCTGGATTGTAGATAAAATACGATTAATTTGTACATGTGAAGCATAACATAGAACATTGTATTTGGTTTGTTATTTGCCATATTGCAAATGTCATTTTCGGGTGGTATTGGTCCTTCCACTGACTGCAGTCAAGGAGACGCCAAATGGCCTCCCGAAAATGAAGTCGTTTTTGTCAATGTTCTGTTGGACGAAGTTGTGATGGGAAACCGTGTAGCCTGTAAGTTCACACCGAATCAATGGGCGACCATTCTTGCGAAGTTCAAGGAGCAGTGTCCTATTCACTATCCTTACAAAGTCGCACAACTGCAAAGTAAGTACCAACGAATGAAGGTATATTGGAGAATATTTCACACCATGGTTACCAATGCCACTGGATTGAGTTGGTGTCCACATAAAAAATGATTACAGGAGACGCTGATGGTTGGCGAAACTGGACAACCGTAAGTATATTTTATGGTTTGTTACAAGTGTTTTCTATGTTCAAATCTAACAATTGTTATTTGCTTCCTTAAACTTTGTTGCAAAATATACAAGTGTGGCATGTACACCTATTTTCATTGCCTTTTTTTCTTTGGTTTTAATGTTCTTTGCTTCAATTGTCTTCGAAATACAATGTGGCTTGTACACCTTTTGTTACTTCTTTTCTTTTATTTTCTATGTATAAGTATTATTTCATTTCAGCTGAAACATAAAATTGGTCTCTTGTACATATATATGTTGGCCTTATTATGATTGCCATTTTGTTACTTTGCAATTTTATATATGCCTTGTACTGCTTGTTTCGTGGGGAATATTTGTATCATCGAATGTTTGTGTTCTTGTAGTGCTATTCCCCTTTTTAAAAAAAAAAATTCACTGTTTTATGACGTCCACAGGCAAATCCGAGTTATCATGACATGGAGGGCAAAGTATGTGTGCACTACGAAGCGTTGATGACTATTTTTCATGGGACGACCGCTACGGGGTCGAATGCAAGGGCATCGACTCAACGTGTGACCGAGGGACGTGGTGAGCCATCTGGAATGGAGACCCCGACATCTCATCGATGGAATGCTGGGCAGAATCAGTCCGTTCGTCGAAGGAGAAGCACGAAGTCCAGTTTCGACACCGCCATGTACTCGTGGTCCGACTTGAATGTGTCGCTGAAAGAAAAAAAACAACAAACCCGTGAAGCTAACAACGATGGAACAGAAAATGTGCGACCTCCAAGCTATGCCAAATATGGACGAAGATCTTTTCTAGTTTGTTTGCAATAAGTTCCATGATCCCACGAACCGAGCCATGTTTGCAGCGATAACTAGTGACGAGAGGCGTCAACTTATTATTAATATGTGGATTAATGAGGGGCTCGGTTCACAGTGAAGGGGGATGTGGATTGGTGGGGATGTGGATTGGTGGATTGGTTTTTAACTATTGTTTTCATTTCTTGTTGGACTTGACTGTTTTCTATATTTGTCTTCAACTCTTCTCTGCTTGAACTTTGATTTCGTGTTACTCAGTTTCATTTTTTTCAGCATGATTTAATGTGAGAATTTGTTTGTCAACATTTGTATATGTGTTTTAGCCACTATTATATTTATTTGTAGGATGTCTTACGTAGATGATAGTGACACATATGAAGAGGAGATCGATGATATGCCTGAGGACATTGACAGCGAATTCGAGACAGTGGAAGACTACGACCCGTTGGAAACTTCGTTAATGATGGGGGCCCATTTTCAACAACTTGTAAACATTTACGAAAGTTCGTCGTCCGCATTTCCCCCATTAAGAAGAATCCCCTACCAAGAATCCACCTACTCAGGTTTGGACTAGGTAAATGAATTGTTAGCTAGAAATTCTCGCCGATTTAAAGATGCAATGCGCATAAATCAATGACATTTCAGCATACTTTGTGACGAAATCAAACTGGCTGGATTCCACCCAAAAAGAAGACAAACAAAAATTCGCATTGAAGAAAGCGTAGCCATTTTTTTGCATACAATAAAAGGGCATCAAAGGCAACGTTTTGCGGCTGAAACATTTAGAAAATCGGGGGACACAATCAGTCGTCATTGTCACAAAGTCATCAATGCGCTTTGCTATCTCGCCCCCGACTACATTCGTCCCCCAGACTTCAACTGTGTTGCACCGTGGATAAGAAATAACCCGAATTTATATCCCTACTTCAAGGTAATTTCAACACTTATTTATTTTTAATGTGTCGTACACCGTTAATTTGAACAAAAGTACATGTATTGTTGAAATTCTATCTGCTATTCTTAGGACTGAATTGGCGCAATTGACGGGACTATTATACCTGCGTGGGTGCCAGAAGGACAACAGGGTTCCTACAGATGTAGGAAAGGGTATTGAGCGCAAAATGTGATGTTGGCGTGCGATTTTGACCTCAAATTCACTTTTGTTCTAGCGGGCTGGGAAGGTAGCGCAAACAATGCACGCATTTTCAATCAGACATTGTCGGGCCCCTGATATAATTTCCCTTATCCACCGCCGGGTAAATTGACCATGACACTATTAAAATGTTATACTGTAGTTAAAGTAAATACAAGTAGAAATTATGCTAAGTACATTCCTGTAAGTACAAAAGTTATGTTCATGCAGGTAAATTCTACGTGGTGGACTCCGGATATGCACACATTTTGGGTTTCATGACACAATATCGTGGTGAAAGATATCATCTTCCGGAGTGGTTGGGGTCTAACCAATTGTCTGGCAATGCTCGTGAGTTGTTTAACAGACGACATGCCACTGTCCGTAATGTTATCGAAAGCAGCTTTTGTTTGCTAAAAGGGAAGTTTCTAATGATAAAGGGGTTGATGCCAAACTACAAAGTTCACTCCCAAACCGACATAGTAATAGCATGTTGTGTCCTACACAATTTTATACGGATGCATGAACCGCTCGGAAACATGCCACCTGAATTCAGCAACCCAAAATACGTACAACGACATGATCCAACTGATCGGACTTTCCCTTTTATGTCGAGTAATAACTCCAACGTCGGCGCTGGTGAGCACTGTGTGTTGCATGACACGATAGCCCAAGCGCTATGGGCGAACCGAAGATAAAAGAACCGTTTGTATTCATGAAACCTGTTGGGTGTGTCTTGTATTAATGAAAACCAAATAGACCAGTTGGTGTTTATTTTCTATCTATTAATGATTGAAATTAATAATAACCATATTTGTCTTTTTTCTTCCGTCGAAAATTGAATTTACAGTGTCGACGCTTATGAATATGTATATATATTTTTTGGTAAATTTCATTTTATAGTTAATTATAGTTTTTACTAATTACATGTTTTTTTCATTAATTCTAAACTAAAAATAAAAAAGAAAATAGAAATCAGGTTATGTTGCACAACTATAATAGTAATTAATAAAATAATTTTTAATAAATAATTGCAATCAAGTTTTGATGTTTTCAAAATGTTTAAACTGATATAAATATAGTTTTGTTGGGACATTATATATATAATATATATATATATATATAATAATTGTTATTATAACATTATATTTTGGGTCTAAACTAAAAATAAAAAAGAAAATAGAAATCAGGTTATGTTGCACAACTATAATAGTAATTAATAAAATAATTGTTAATAAATAATTGCAATCAGGTTTTGATGTTTTCAAAATGTTTAAACTGATATAAATATAATTTTGTTGGGACATTATATATATAATATATATATATAATAATTGTTATTATAACATTATATTTTGGAGGCTGTAAAGAGTAGTGCGATTTTTTTTTTTTTTTTTTTTT